TGTGAATTATAGCAATTCATCTGAGACAATGACTTTGAGACATCACAGTTCAGAGGCAACAAGATCAAGTGAACAAGGAAGAAACTCTAATCAATCATCACGAAATGATCTATCAATTACGGAACTATATCCTCACTAGATTTTTAGTCTTGCATGTGCATGACAGTCAAAAGCATTATAGAAGGAGGTATATATTGACGGACATAATATATATTGATTGTATGTGTATCATATAAGAAGCTTTAATCAAGAAGTAAGTGAAGTTTCCCACAGCATTTCCATAATTTTTGTCTTATGATGGGCAAAGATTTATCCTGCCCACTTCTCCTTGTTTCAACTTCAAAACATGCATATAACCAAATATGGCCTTGTCTTGATGTTTGATTTGTTGACCATTGATTAGCTTCATCTATCTTGTCATGCATATATTATATATATTTGTATAAAATTTGATGGAGTCAGAGATGCACAAAACTTTTTTTTTCCGGTAAAATGATCAAATATATATTAAAAAGAACAAGGTTTTAGTTACAAAAATAGAAGATCACTAGTAGGTATAGCAAATAAGGGGGGAGGGGGATTGTTGTGCTTGGACAACGATGCCATTGATGTTTTTGAACAGTTTGTGAATATCAACTACAATGAAATTACTGCTCTCCTCTGCTGTTGGTTTTAGAAGAAGATAAATATTAGCTTGAGAGAGGCTCCAAGAGCGAAATTGTGAAGAGCAACCAACCACGATAGGGTTGCTCTTGCACACATTTGTAGAAAGGGAGGAGAGTCAATATTGGCCTTTTTCCATGTGAGACAGAGTAAGCATTGGTTGTTGAGGTTGATCCATGCACTGCAAGTTGTCTTTCTTTCGGACTTTGTGCTTTTGAAGTATGATTTCCCATGGCAGCAGAGTTGATTGCTATGAAGGCCAATGGAATTCCATCTTTCCTTGCATGGAAGGTTTGGCCTTGTTCCCTATACTGAAGGCCAGGGAAATAAGAGAGGAGGATCTTTTAATTTCTTGTAGACAACTAACCAGGTTCAAAACCCTTGACTCATGAATAACTTGGTTTCTCAACCTCTAAATTGTATTGATAACAACGTTAATATCATGAAGTTGTTGGTGGCTTTGTATATTGAGATTCTGCAGTGTATTAACTAATCAAGTTTTAAAGGAGTCAAAATATGTGAAATTGAACTAAATGGATAAGCTTCCAAGCCAAATTGCTCGGGTTAAAGGGCAGTTTATGAATATATGATCAATGGTTTTTGGTAGGCCACAACTAAGGCTACAGTTCCCTGAAACATTTAGATGGTGAAGGGAGAGGATATCATAGGAAGGAACAGCCCTGTTAAGCAGTTTCCAAATAAACAAAAGATGCTTGGAAGGAAGGGAGATGGACCAAAGGAATTTCCAAAACCCATTGAAATTTAAAGAGCCTGTGGTTGCAGATAAGGTTCGATAGCCAGCCTTTGTTGTGGAATTACCAGATGAATTACCTTTCCAGAGTCCATGAAGCATTCAAGGAAAGAGGAATGGAAAACAAAAAAACTATCATAACATGATTACAGTAAATATAGTTATTTTTGTCTCTTTATGCTTAATTAATTTGTTGGCCCTTAATTAACTTTATCTAGCCACCCAAAATCTTGATTTCCATATATTTTAGACTGAGAAATCTAAAATATAAAAAACAGAAGCCAATATATATACATACATTTGTGTGTGTGTGTGTGTAAACAAAAGCATTAACTTTAACAAATATATCTGTATAGTTAACAATTCAGTCAGATTCTTCCTCACCAGCATGTTTATCAAATGGTAGCCCAGCAAAGTGTAACAACGGTTATTTCTAACCTTTTTAAATTCAAATGTAATAACACTAATCATGGTAGAAAAGAATCTTAGTATAATCATTGAAAAGGCTATCATGGTTATAAAAAGAAATTTTGATTTTCCAAAATGTTAACTATGATAGAAAAGGCTTGAGCTAATTATTCAAAATATTTATCATGATTATAAGAGTTTTACTAAACAAATTGTATAAAAACTGTAATTAATAATATTTTACAATAACTAAGCCTGGGGCTTTACAAATCCCAGAACGTCACATCTAACTTTGAGCCCATAACATGATACTTTCTGAATAAAATTCTTCCAAATCAACAAAAGTAGTTAAGACCATCAATCTTGGATAAATCAGAGTACGTAAAAAGAGCTATATGTGGCAATATACAAATATTCATCACATGACAAAAGGAGGCTATACAAGATAAACTTGATAGCAAGGCCTCTGTCGCCTTCCTTGATGGACCAGCCTTAGAGCTATTATTTGAAAATGTTAAACCACGAGGTGAGACAAAAGCCTCAATAACCAATAATCCTACTCATTAGGTATACAAGTAAGTGCTTGAGAGGTGTCAAGTGGAACAGTTACTAAAATCATAACATTCACAATTGTCACATGGTTATATATATATATATATATACATATCAAAATACAATATCTCACTCTCAATTCCACCTTATTTCCTCTGACTGAACCCATGGGCTAGTACTTTCCCATGTAACTGGTAGTTCAACATAATAAGCTCACTGATCAAGTGATGTGAACAGGCCAAAATCCACAGAGCATAAGATCGGACCGTGAGTTCCCCCTCTAGTCCACTAGCAGGGTGTCATACGCCCTACAACACATGAAAGGGCCAAAGGATCAACCAGTGTACATCTGGCGTCCTCCCACCTTATTACCTCTATAATATGTACAAAATTCACCCCCTTATTCTCCCTATAATATGTCTCCTATCAATCAACGCTTACGATCTCCTCTCGTGTTTATACTCATGAGATTTATAAAATAATCATTTACCAATAATATCATAACTTTCACATTTATCAAAATCGAGATTTCAAATTTTCAATAATCAACATCAATCCTCAAAACTATTTCTCAATAAATTCTTGTTCCACATGACAATTTTATAAATTTATAATTTCATAACTATTTTTTTTTCAATAACATAAAGTATCTCAAGGCAATTTCAACAATAATGTATTTCATTGCTCAAATCATAATCCAGTGGCATTTCAAGAATCTCATATAATTCAAAATCACTTACAAACATCATATAAGCATACATAACAAGTGGAAAGTGGTTACCTTTCGCCAAAGCTATATAAAAAGAATTACCACAAAGTTTTTTTATTTTATGAAACATCAGGGTATCCACCGACGAACCCAGTGACTAATCCCTTCGCTGGTTTGTCGGCACCTCGATGGGTGGGACAACTGGCCCGGAGTTTTAAAGCTTTTCCATGCCCAAGGCGAGGATCGAACCCTCGACACTTGGTGAAGGGAGAATGAGCCCCCACCACTCTACCACACCCCCCGGGTTAGAATTACCACAAAGTTAACCCCATGCTCAAACCAATAATTCAATAATTAATCTACACAATTAATATAACCACAAATTAATATAATCACATATTAATATAAACTAATTAATTAAGCTTATATATATAGTTAAATTTCTAATTTAATAATTTGTATTCTAAATTCCCACAACTCTCATAACTCAAAATTAAGTATTTTAGAACTAATTTAGAAATTTTTCTAATAGGCTAAAATATTCATTTCCATCTTCTGGATTATTTACTTTAATAAAAAGAATTCTCCAAAATTCTCAAATATGAAATTATTATATTTTAAATTCTAAAAAAATTCTATTTAAAGTTTAAACCTCAAAATAAAATCATTAAAAATTCAATAGTAACTCAAATATTTATAAATAAATAATCTACTCAAAATTCTAATAGTATAACTATTATATTTCTTTTTCTTCACAAATAATAAACTTTTTTAGCTAAAATAATTATTTTAAAACCTCAAGTCATCCAATAGATAAAATTAAACCAATTAAAATCTTAATAATATGTCAAACAACTCAAATAAATTATTTAACATAATTTTGATGGGTACAAATATGATATATCTCATAAATAACAGATTTTTTAACTAAATAAATTAATTTAAATACTAAAAACCAACAAATGGACAAATCTAAATTGATAGAAATGATCTACTATAATAAAGCTACAATATTATGGTTAACACTTGTCAAAACCCAAAGTTTATACCATATAAAAGTCTCAAAATTTTCTCTAATTACTATAATAATACTATCATTAGAAAGCTTAAAATATATAGAAAATATTTATGAAGAAAGTTTAATGAAAAAAAGTAATTTTATGTACCTAAATTATCTCAAAAGCTTGCCCTCTCCTTCACAAAAACCACAGCTCCGCTCTTGCTATCTTTCTCTTGCTCTCTTTCTATCTTTCCCTCTTTCTCTCTCACGCACCCACATCTTTTGCCTTCCATTCTCTCTTTTATTTTCCACCTCATTCCATCCTCCAACCACCTCATCTCCAATTTTCTTCTTTCATTGACTTCTTCTCTCCCAAATTTCCTTCTTCATCTTTAATGCTACCTCCTTTTCCACCGAATTCGGTGGAAAAGGAGGTATTTTTTTAATACTAAAATATTATTATATTATAATAATAAAATATTATTACATTTTATATATTTTTTTAACTATATTTTTATTTCTCTTTTTTTTTTAAATCCTAAAATAAAATTTAGGATATTACACAAAGCACAAAACAGGAGGAATAGTGAAAGATTTTGATGCAAGTGAAATGTTCGTACAAGTCTGAGTAAATGGCAACTCAATCACTGATGAGTTCCTTGTAGCCAACAATGGGCAATGAAACAAGATTAAATACAACTTAATCCAAATTTACAACATATAATAAAGATGAACAGGGCATCTTGCATAGTAAGTCTTGAATAAAAGTGACGTGACAGAATTAGAAAAACGCAGAGAGAAACTTAGACTTCCTAGAACTTGCATAGCGTAACCAAACATATGAATATCACCTTCAAGGGGCAACACTTAGTCGATGAACATGTAGCTCAGTATTATAAATGAGGCCACATTTCCTTTTATTCCTGAACAGAGTTACATTCTCGTCCACTTGAAGCCTGGATGGAGCTAGTAGCGTCTCGTTCAGTGGATCTTGTTGTTCCTGAACTACTCTCCCCTGAACAATGCTGCTCTGCCAAAGTTCTGTAATTCTTTAAAAATGCAGGTTGTGAAGGTAACGGGAGAGAGAATGAGTGGCTGCTGAGCATAAGTGCAACGTTAGCCATGGTAGGCCTGTCCGCTATATCTTCTTGAACGCAGAGTAAACCAATGTGGATGCATCTTATCATTTCCTTTCTTGACCCATCAATTAATAATGAATCTATTGTATTTGAGGCTGTCCCTTCCCTCCAATTTTTCCATGCCTGCAAGAAGTTTATCATCAATAGTAAACAATATGTTGGCAAGCTATTACAGCATATATACTTAATCTCAGAATATGTACACTAATGCAAGAATATAAGATCAAATGGAGCTAGGTTGACATAAATTATTGTGGAAAAAAAAGGACTTACAAAGCTTAATAGATCATGGGCTTTCTCCTCATGAAAGTTGGTATTGTTTCTCTTTCCGCTTACAATCTCTAAAACCAATACACCAAAACTAAAAACATCTGATTTGATTGAAAATTGTCCATGCATTGCATATTCTGGTGCCATATATCCGCTGCTTGTTAACATGCACAAGGTTAATCAAATGTAAATATCATTAAATCCTAAATCATTAGTTTTGAGGTCATCGGTAATATACTTACTAGGTTCCAACAATTCTGCTCGTATTGCTTTGGGTTTGATTTATGGAGAAGAGTTTTGCCATACCAAAATCTGATATTTTAGGATTCATCTCTTCATCTAAAAGAATGTTACTTGCTTTGAGATCACGATGAATAATACGTAATCTTGAATCCTCATGAAGATAAAGAATGCCACGACCAATGCCGCCTATGATTTTGTATCGTGTCTCCCAATCCAGATGAGTTCGTTTGATAGGATCTACAATAATTTCAAACCCATTTAGAGTTTCAATATAAACATAATTCATATTACTCTAAAGTAAGAATTAAATGCTTACCAAATAGCAAGTAGTCAAGACTTTTATTGGGAAGAAACTCATAGACAAGTAACCTTTCTTTTCTTTCTAAACTGAAACCAAGTAATTTCACTAAATTGCGGTGTTGAAGCTTGGCCACCAACGATACTTCATTCTTAAATTCTGAATCTCCTTGCCCAGAATCCATGGACAGCCTTTTAACAGCTATTTCTCTTCCACTGGAGAGCCTACCCTGCATTTATTGAAGTTGGGACACACAGTTACTTCTTTGATAGCTATACATAAAACTCTTAGTCAAATGACAATATAGTTTTTTATTATAATTTTATATACATATATTTTTTTATATATATAACTGTTAGTGTACCTTATACACTGGCCCAAATCCTCCCTCTCCAAGCTTATTTTCAACAGAAAAGTTATCTGTCGCAAGTCTGATGGTATGAAAGTTGAATTGCAATGACTCAATCGGTGTGATTTCATCTTGGTTAACCTGAAGTTCAACTATGCAGGAGAGAAATCGATTAGTTCTTCAAAGGATGATCTTCAAGTTATCTGAAGTTATAATATTGCCAAAGCTATTTTGTTTTAAATTTTTTTCCCAACATAATAGGAGTAACTCTTGCTTTTTTTGCCAAAAAAACAGAAAAGAACAGAAAAACTCATGGACCAATGCTTGAAAAATTTATAAAATCTAAAGGAAATATTTTAAATTTATTATTAGCTTTAGCACACTACTATCCTTTTATCACCATAGTATATATCATCCATCATGAGCTAACATCATCAGCTCACTACTGATAGAACTGGTAATACAGGTTGAATCCACAAGTTCAACCCTTCAAAATGGCAGGTTAAGGTTAACTCAAAGTCAACCCACCAGTAAACAAATCTTTTTAACTCGCACGGCCAGACCCTTAACCCTCTGTGATTGCTAGCTAATCGGTTTTTTTTAAAAAAAAATTCTAAAATTATTATAATTATGTTATTGCATATTATGTTCTATCAAAAAAATTAAAAATTATACCTATATAATTTTTTTGGTGTTTTCAATCAAATATTTCAAGGAAAAAAATAAAAATCTCATTATAATTTTTGGGATATTGAATAAAAAAATATTAAAAGACAGAATTTTTTTTAAAAAAGTAAATAATCATTGGTGGGTTGGAGGGCTAACCCATCAACCCACCTTGGCGAGCCAACTAGCCTTCAAACAACCCTTTTGAACCCCATCCATATGGGTCCAACTTACAGATTGGCCCATATTATCATTCCTAACTGTTGGAACGACAAATTTTAAAATGAATTTAGCCTTTGATCATTTATAGGCTTTTGTTTATGTCTGCCTTTTCCTTTTGGTTGACAAGGACATGAGAAACAAACCATATGATTGGACTCAATCTTGTGCCAACGTAATAATTTCCAAAATACTACCTCCGATCATTAATATAAGAGTTAGTTGACTAATTTAAGTAGATTAAAAAAACTAATTTAGTTATTTATAATAAATAGGTGTTATCTTTCCTAAAATATCTTTACTAAACAACTGCATTGGTTAGAACTATTATTATTATAAGGACTACTTTAAAAAAAGAATAAATATGAGAAACAAAGTAAATTAGGGCCTTATATTTAGTATCAAAATAAAAATCAAACAAGCTCTTATATTAAGGACCGAAACTCTGTATGTGTATATATAACGGTAATGGAATTGGAAACATTGGCTTGACTTACTTTCAATGGTTTTTCTTGATTTCCTAATTCGAGAATAGGCGCAGATGGAGGAGAGAGCTATGATAAATGCAACGGCCAGAACAATGAGGACAATTATGACAATTCTTGACCTGTTGCTTCCTCTTCCTGCAAAAGATGAACATTTTTGGCCAAAAACACATTAGTTGCATATAAAAATTTTTCAATAGACTTACAAATTGAAACAAATTATTTTATACATTAAAAATTGCCTTAATTATAATATAAAATGAAGGGAGTGCGCGGGTGTCATGTACTGTATAAAAATTTGAGACCATTCATTTGATGGATAGGTTGGCTCAGGAATCAACAAAAAAAAAAAAAGGTAAACGTGGTACATGAGATATCCAGCCCAATCCTGGGGCTGAATCAATGGTCGTTAGGGAAGGAGCAATGAAGCGGCTACAATTGGGTAGACTCCGTCCTAGAGGACTACCACTCATATTTTTATTATAAGTTATTTATAGAAAAAATTGGAAAAATTTCAATAAAATAATGGTTGAATTTACAAAATTGATCACTTGAACTTACAAAATTCTAAATCAATCATAATGAGTAAATTGAAATTTTAAAATGTTAGTAAATTTATAATGTTTCCACTTAATTTTTTTTTAAATGCTCAAACCATCCTCACAGCTAGCAAGCCAACCTCCTGACACAATTCAGGTGGCTGTTTGTCATTGGCGCTCCGATGGCCAATCGAGGACCGGTTATGATAATTGAATTGAATGGTCCTATTTATGAACAAGTGTGTCATTTATCATACTACCTTTGGTTTTTAATATACTAGTTTAACTTTTAATTTGATATTAAATATAAGATTCTAATTCACTCTTTCTCTCATATTGATATATTTTTTTCAAGGTAGTCTTTATAGTAATTACACATGTTAAATATTTAATCAAATTACACTTGATTAGTAAAGATATTTTAAGTAAAACAACACATATTTACTACAAATAATTATCTTACCTAATTTTCTTAGTCTACTTAAATTAGTCAAAAGACCGGAAGTATCAATGATCAAAACTATCCACACATCAGTTCAATCTTTTTCATCTTTATCAATTAAATGAAGTCCTATAATACAAACTTATTCGATCAAATCCCTCTAATCTACTTCCACTCTAAATAAAGTGTCGGCAGATATTAGAAAGAAAGATGGAAGTGGGACCTGCATATTGTTAGAAAACAGTATTATAGAATTTTTTACCATTGGGCTACCCACACCATACAACTCCATTGGGATGTTTTTCAAGCTCAAATTTAGCATAAATAAATAAATAAAACATATGATGAAGACATCCTTCCAAATTTCCATAAGACTATTGAATGAAAATTTGAAAAACCGTCTAAAGTTGAAGGAAATATATGACCAAAACAAGCTGCATAAATATATTAAAGGATATCAGACGAAGAGTCGTGCTTAATAGAGTGAGAAGTTTGTTAAGTTTTGAAGACATACCTGGTGGAGGAGGAGATGGTTGCAATGAGTCGACCACGTTTTTATCATAGAACAAGTAGTCCTCGTATCTAACATTGCAGCTAAGTTTAATAATCCTTGCACCAATCTTGTCATTACAACAATGATTGAGTTCCATGATTGCCTTCTTCAAGCATTTACCACAATCTTGCTCAGATAAGTCCGGCGTGCATTGAGCAAGACCATATAGATCTTTTTTATACATGTGCTCTACATTTAATGCTGCAAACTTATGACGAGAGTCACCAGCCGCCGCTTTTTTTGCTAGTTTTTGCAAAAGATCATTAAGCGTTGCATTGAAGTTCGTATCTGTTGCATTTGTAGGGTCGAAATATGGAAAGGAAAATTCAGGGTTTCCATATGACCCAAATATTTGCTGATCCGAGTATCGTACAATGCATCCGTCGTTATATCCCATTGCCTCCTTCTGATTCGGACATTTATTTGGGAGAAGTATTGTGGCGCTGTTGAGGCAATAACGGCAGAAATTTGGATTCAAATCTCCCCTGCAGAGTCCGATTACATAAACTGTGTCAGGGTTTTGGCCATAAGAAGAATTGTAGAAGCCATAGTCAATTTTTGTGTTGGAAGTGAGATTGGAAAGGAGCGTATCGAGGTTGGAGTGGTAGTTGCTTGTCTCTGTATAGGTGTTTCCACTTTTAATGGAGCAATTGTAATATATGAATTTGTTGAAGTCAAGCTGGTTAAATTGGGTGGTGGGAATGATGAGATAAAGGAAAGAAAGCAGAGTTAAAGAAATGATAGACATTATGTTATCTAGAATTCATAGTGACCCTGGAATTGCCTTGCTTTTATTATTACACAAGTCTACGGGTCAACCTAAAGGAGAAGATTTGAATTGTCAAACAAAACCATTGCAACAGCTTGGAATATTTAATGAATCTTGACATTGTGATCAAGAGTACTTTTTTTCAATGAACAATATTTAATTAAGATCTTTTTAGATTAGCCACCTACTTTGACGGATATAAGATAATTTTGGTCATTTCAGCCCATAGTAATTGTAGTTTGTTCATAAGTGTTCATTCATTAGAAATTAAACAGCAAGATTGATGATCAATAAGAAAATACTCCTCTAGCCTTGTTTATAGGCTGCGAGGAAGTTTTTGTTCTTATTATAACTCATCTCATTGAATTTAATTATTATATGAATGTATAACTTTATTCTTAATGTATTGTTTAATAGATTGTTATTTTCTTATAAAATACATTTATTAAATAGGGTTAACATTGAAAAAGTTATTAAATTTTACAATAGAATTAATAAGGTTGAAGGGTTTTTTTTCATTTAGGTGAAACGTATTAAAAATAACTTATAAATTAGATTAGGGAAGTATATTTGATAGTCACAACAAGATTGTTCCTCTGTAAAAAACTAGTTGGATGATTGAATTTTGTTCTAAATATAATAACATAATTCATTTTATTTCCTAAATTTATAAATATTTTTCTAAATTCTCTTCATTGGTTGTATACATTATATTGGGTATTAAAAGCTGGTTTCAATCAATATAATTAAAGAGAGTATTTTAAAAAACTAATATATCTTTTTTTACAAAGAATTAGCTTAATTAATTTTTTTAATCGAAATTATCTAACTTCTTTATTATTTTTTTTTCTAATTCGAGGCGCAAGTACTAACTATTTCCAGTTACAAACAGAATTAAGCTCATGAGTTCTCGTTTACAACAAAGAATTCATGCAACTTTGTTGCAAGGTCATTGGCATCTGGCTTCTATATTAAAAATCACAAAAAGTATTTTTTTAATAAAATTTACACAAGTCAACGAGTCTACCTTAAGGGACCAGCTGAACGTCTGCCCTCCTTATCAACGTCACGTGCTAGCTCGTTCAACGCAACTATTTAGGGTATGTTTGGATTGGCGTTGGGCAAAACTGACTTCTAGCTCAACTGACTTTTGTAACTGAAGTTAGAGTAAAAGTCAGTTAGAGTATGTTTGGATAGGTGCTTTTGAAAAGTCAGTTGAAAAAGCTGAAAGTTGTTTGGAAGATGAATGAAAAAGTTAGTTTAGTTGTAAAATGACTAAAAAGGGCATGAACATTATTAAATAGTAGTTTTTAATTTTTTATGTTTTTAATGTGATAATAGGTTAAAAAAACATATAAAATTATTATGATAAAATATAAATAGTTTAATTGTGAAATTATGAAATAAAAATATTTGTTATGAAGAAAAAGTTGAAAAACACATTGTAGATAATTAATTAAATATACATAATAGACAAACATGAATATAAATTCAAATTTATTTGGTCTAAATAAAAACTTATTATGCTAACGAAGGAGATGAGGCAGAGAGAAAAATGTGAGGGTAAATCTGGGATACTCATTTTTAGTAATCACAGTTTGAAACTACAGTTTGAAAAGTTAGATTTTTCTCCGTTGAGTCTAACTGAGGTTGAAAGCCAGAAGTTGGTTGGAAAAGTTAGCCCAGCCAAACAACAGTTTTGGTCCAACTCAGTTTGCAACCTCAGTTTCACAGATTCCAAGGCACAACTACAGTTTGGAACTGCAATCCAAATATACCCTTAATGGTGTGGGTCCAAGCCAACTGCAGGTGGGGTGGGCGGGCCATCTAGTAATATAAAATCTATATATACGTTATACAGTTGGCGAAAAAGTAAATTAGGAAAATTGCACACTGGAGCGGTTCATAAAAATTACCATCAAAACCAATATTATTATTATTATCAAGATCCGTAGTAATATTGTCACAGGTCTTGATTTGTGATTTGTCTAATTTTACAGTTTTTTTGGTGATTTTGCCAAAATCTAAAGTCAGAATTTTTAAATAATATTATTTTAAATTTTCAAAAAGTTAGAAATCTTTTTCTTTTTCCCTTTCTTGATATTAAAGCCGAAGGTGAAAACCAACACGGGTTCGTCCTCCGCTTGGCGTAAATTGCATTAAATTTTACTAAAAATGACAACTTGACTTATGTTTTCAGTAAATTAATAACTAAAATTTGCTAAAATAAAATGACAACTTCATCACAACACATACCCTGAGATTTACTGTAGAACCCACGGTCAGTGTTAGGGTCGGAAGTGAGGTTAATATAAAGAAGGGTTCTGAGGTTGAAGTCTTGGGCACTTGTATCTGTGTACTTATTCGTATCTCTTTCACTTGTAAATTAATGGAAGTTGTGGTCATGAGATGCCGTGTCCACAAAACCAAACAAGCGTGAGAAACAAGATGGCGAGACTTTTATTTTCGGACTTATTCGAGTCTTTTCATGCTTGTCCTTTTCACTCACAATTATTTCTTCATGACCATGTGATCAATTAGAATAATGCGCTTGCTAAAAAATTAAAATATTTAAATAAATAATTATAAAAATGTGTTGTCATTTATTTTTTAAATATTATCAATTGTTATTAAAGTGTAATGAACGAAACTTATTTAAAATTTTAAAATTGAAAGATAGTTTTTATGAGATTCTTCCTTTTATTTACTTTTAACGACAAAGTTATAACTACTTTTAATTATAAAATTTTAATTATAATCTTTAAGCACTCTGAAAATGGGTAGGAGTATCCATTTTTTGCCAATATTCTAAGAGATAATTAATTATCAAACTGCGTTTGATAGATAGAAGGGTCGGAGGTGAAACTGCAACTACGAAAGAAAACTTAATGGTGTGGGTCCAAGCCAACTGCCTTTCCTGGAGGTGTGGTGGGCAACGTCACGTGCTAGCTCGTTCAACACAACTACTTAGGACTTGTTCGGGTTGCCGTTTGGAATGTCAAAAGCACACGGAAAAGTGTGAAACTGAGGTTTGTGGCTTATTGTAGTTCAAAAGATTGTTTGGATTGAATTTCGTTTCTAACTGACTTATGAAAAAAAGTAACTTTTCTAACTGACTTATCCAACGCAATCTGAATCAACTTTTCTAACTGACTTATGAAAAAATTATGCAAAGCTTATGATCTAATTAGTTATGTGATTCTATTTACTTTAATTAGAAACCAAATAAATTTTAATTTATATTCATGTTTGTTCATTATGTATATTTAATTAATTATCTACAATATATTTTCAAATTTTTCTCCATAACAAATATTTTTATTTTATAATTTTACAAATAAACTATTTATATTTTATCATAATAATTTTACGTGTTTCTTTAAATTATTATCATATTAAAAATATAAAATTTCAAACACCACTCCATATTCTTTTAAGTCATTTTACAACTAAACTAACTTTTCTATTAATCATCCAAACAACTTTTAACTTTTTCAACTGACTTTTTAAAAGCATCGATCCAAACATAAATTACATTACACTAACTGACTTTTACTCTAACTTCAATTACAAAAGTCAGTTGGGTTAGAAGTCAGTTTTGCCCAACGCCAATTCAATCACAAAAAGTATTTTTTTTAATAAAATTTACACAAGTCAACGAGTCTACCTTAAGGGACCAGCTGAACGTCTGCCCTCCTTATCAACATCACGTGCTAGCTCGTTCAACGCAACTACTTAATGGTGTGGGTCCAAGCCAACTGCCTTTCCTGGAGGTGTGGTGGGCAACGTCGCGTGCTAGCTCGTTCAACGCAACTACTTAATGGTGTGGGTCCAAGCCAACTGCCTTTCTTGGAGGTGGGGTGGGCGGGCCATCTAGTAATATAAAATCTATATATAGGTTATACAGTTGGCGAAAAAGTAAATTAGGAAAATTGTACACTGGATCGGCTCACAAAAATTACTGCCAAAACCAATACTATTATTATTGTCGAGACTCATACTAATATTTTCATAGGTCTTGATTTGTAATTTGTCTAATATTACCGTTTTCTTTGTGATTTTCCCAAAATCTAAAGTCAGAATTTTTAAATAATATTATTTTAAATTTTCAAAAAGTTAGAAATCTTTTTCTTTTTCCCTTTCTTGATATTAAAGCCGAAGGTGAAAACCAACACGGGTTCGTCCTCCGCTTGGCGTAAATTGCATTAAATTTTACTAAAAATGACAACTTGACTTATGTTTTCAGTAAATTAATAACTAAAATTTGCTAAAATAAAATGACAACTTCATCACAACACATACCCTGAGATTTACTGTAGAACCCACGGTCAGTGTTAGGGTCGGAAGTGAGGTTAATATAAAGAAGGGTTTTGAGGTTGAAGTCTTGGGCACTTGTATCTGTGTACTTATTCGTATCTCTTTCACTTGTAAATTAATGGAAGTTGTGGTCATGAGATGCCGTGTCCACAAAACCAAACAAGCGTGAGAAACAAGATGGCGAGACTTTTATTTTCGGACTTATTCGAGTCTTTTCATGCTTGTCCTTTTCACTCACAATTATTTCTTCATGACCATGTAATCAATTAGAATAATGCGCTTGCTAAAAAATTAAAATATTTAAATAAATAATTATAAAAATATGTTGTCATTTATTTTTTAAATATTATCAATTGTTATTAAAGTGTAATGAACGAAACTTATTTAAAATTTTAAAATTGAAAGATAGTTTTTATGAGATTCTTCCTTTTATTTACTTTTAACGACAAAGTTATAACTACTTTTAATTATAAAATTTTAATTATAATCTTTAAGCACTCTGAAAATGGGTAGGAGTATCCATTTTTTGCCAATATTCTAAGAGATAATTAATTATCAAACTGCGTTTGATAGATAGAAGGGTCGGAGGTGAAACTGCAACTACGAAAGAAAACTTAAAATATGATACACGGCAAATGCATGGAAATTTCTAGAAATATAAA